TGATGAACTTGGGCAAATCTGTGGTGATATAACGTACACCTCCTAGCATGGTTAGGAGGGTTAAATGAAGAGACCATGTAAAATCCTTAAACATTTTCTTGTAAATACAAGCGTTTACTCCATGTAACCTTTATTTGTATGCGCGTGTGAACTTCATTGATGAGGTGGTTTTGTGGCACCTGGTGAGTGTCCCGGCTTTTCCTTAATTGGTTTCTTGACGTGGCCGGCATCCCAGCCTTCCTGTTACCACAGATAAATGTAACCTGTGCCTACCTTAAGTGCACGGGAGCATTTCGGCGTTAAAACCCATTTCCCTCGTTTACTCCAGGATAACATCCCATCAATTTCCTTCTACACCAGGAAATACATTTCGCTTTCTACTGGGTCATTTACATCAGCATATGTATTAGTTTCCTAGGGCTGCCTAAAAAAAGTACCGCAAACAACAGAAATTTATTCTCTGACTTCTGGAGGCTGAAGGCTGAAGGCTGAAAAGTGTTGGCAGTGTTGGTTCCTACTGGAGGCTCTGAGGGAGAATTTGTTCCATGTTTTTCTCTCCTAGCTTCTGGAGGCTGCTGCCAATCGTAGGTGTCCCTTAGTTTGTAGAGTCATTGGGCCAGTCTCTGCCTTCACGTGGTGTTCTCTCCTGTGTGTATCTATTTTTTTCTTCCAATACACCACTCAGGGGTTGGGGACCGCCCTAGTCCAGTTTGAATTCATCTTAACTTGATTACATCTACAACGACCTTATTCCCAAATAAGGTCACATTCACAGGTTCTGGGGTTAGGACTGGAACATATTTTTGGGGAGAGGACATAATTAAACCTATGACAGTATACAAACGTTACTTTCCTCGTCAAAAAAATCTTCCTCTTGCCCATATTTTACTCCCTTTTGTAGCACAATTTCTCAGGTGCTTAACATTCATATTCACTGTCTCCACTTCCTCTTGGACAATTCTCTTTTGAACTTAGGTCAATCGGGCATTCACCTCCATCTCTCTTGAAATTGTTGCTGTACTTTAGGTCACAAGTGACCTACCTCCATGTTGCCAAATCCGTTGGTTCTTAGTCTTCTTCTTACCTGACCAGCATTTGACGAAGATCATCACTCTGGCATAAGTTTTTCTCACTGTATTTTCAGTATAGCCCCTCTTGGTTTTACCTTCTGACTCATTGGTCACTCATTCTTATTAAGTCTTGTTTGCTGGTCCTTCTCTCTCAGACCTGACACTTTTGATGGAATGCCTTTGGCAATATAATTTCTTTGAAATTCTTTTGATGCTTTTTAGTTTTGTAAATTGAATTTTGGTTCTGTATCACTTACTACATTAACTTTACTTAAAACATCATGCTGCAGTTAATATGAGAAAAATATAAAAAAAGGGAATATTTTCCAACAGGGGACTTTGGCTTATGTTCTATAATGTATATATTTATTATTATTATCAACAGTTTCCAAAAAAGCATTGCATTCTTCCTTCAAAATAAATTTTTAGTGACATGGCATCAAATAATGTTTCCCAATACTTATTTGATTATGATTTAAAAATTATGTTTGGCGACCGTGTTTTTAATTAACTGCGGTGTTTCTAAAACTATTGTTTACTTGTACTGTTTACTTGTTTACTTGCTGTTGTATAGTTTGTGAATGAAATAAAAATTTTCAGTGTTGTCATAAGATATTTTTGCTCTATCATTCATGACCAAGTTAAAAAAAATGTCTTGACAAGTTGTGCAAAATGTCATAGAATTTTCATTTTTGAGGATTTTCTTTTTTTTTTTTTAAAGATTTTATTTATTTATTTGAGAGAGAGAGCACGAGAGGGAAGAGGGTCAGAGGGAGAAGCAGACTCCCTGCTGAGCAGGGAGCCCAATGTGGGACTCGATCCTGGGACTCCAGGATCATGACCTGAGCCGAAGGCAGTCGCTTAACCAACTGAGCCACCCAGGCGCCCCACTGAGCCACCCAGGTGCCCCTGAGGATTTTCTGTTTGCTTTGTTTTTCTCATATGTATTTGAGGCAGTGTATCCCAGTTATATATACATACATACATACATACATATATGTGTATATATATATATAATATATTTTTTAATTTATTTTTTTGGTAAGCTCTTAAAAATGTGTATGATTCTTCTCCAGCTGTGTCATCTATTGGTTAAAATCCTAATACATGTTCACATATAGAAATATTTGCATTTTGGAAATCCACAATTATATCAGTAATTGTTATGTGCCTTCTGTGTTTTACATTAGGGATTGTGTCCAAAATAAGTGAGAAATAATTAGTTTTTAAAAACCTTATTCAAACTGATTTTATTCATAATGTATCCTATAATATTTATTATTTGGTTTTGTATTTTACTTCCTAAATAGTCTATTTGGTGTTAATATTTGTATTTTGCAGCAATGTGCTAACAGGATGCCACTGACTTTTGCCATGGTTTCTGCTAAATAATAAAAATACCTATTATCAGGCTTTTAAAATTTATTAGATGACCCTCTCTACACTAGGTACTACTCTAAAAATTTAATCATGTTTTTTTTTGTTATCAACAAATGCAGGCCTATATATTCCCATTTTTCATAGGATTGTTAATTTTTTAAATTCTTGAAAATCTGATATTAACTCTTAATACTGATGATATTATGCATTTCACTTTATTCATGTTCAAGAATGTGTGATAAATGCTGCTAATCTTTGCGTCATTTTTATTCTTCAGCTAAACTCTGCATCCAGAGAGTTTTCAATTTAGACAAGATATAGAATCCTTTGAGGAGAGATGTTATTAAAACCTGGTGGAAATTGAATTCTTCCTCCTTTTTAGGTTATATACTCTTTCTGAAATCTTTCAGATTTTTCTCTTTGAGGTTCTTACATTTCATTCTGTGTTTGTGTTTTGTTGTTTATCTGTTTACTTTTTGGCATTTTGTGAACACTTTTGATCTATGGTTCCACTATTCTTAAATCTGAAAAATTTATCTTTATTATTTCTTCAAATATTTCTCTCCTGTCCATATTTTCTTTCTCACTGGATCTTCTTTCTATTGTGTGGTTTTTGACATTTATATAATTCTACATATCTCTTATTTTAGTTTTCATTTCTACTTCTTTATCCTTTTCTGCTGCTTTCTGGCAGAACACCTCAATCTGATCCTCTGTTTTCCTAATTTATTCTTCAGCAGTATTATTCTGTGATCAGTTATGTTGTTTATTACATTTTTCATTTGTAATATTTCTACTCAAGTCTTTAAAAAAATACCCCGTGTACCTGTTTTCTATTGCTAATATTCTGTGTGTGTGTGTGGGGGGGTGTGTTTGTGTATTTTTGGTTTCTTTTTAAGTTTGTTTGTATGTATGTATTTATTTAAGTAATCTCTACACCCAACGTGGGGCTGGAACTTACAACCCTGAGATCAAGAGCCACATGCTCTTCTGACTAAACCACCCAGGTGCCCTTGGACTTTTTTTCCCCTCCAGTTTGTTGTTTTTCTTTTGCAAAACTTGTATTTTTCAGGTGTCAAGTTATTTTCACCTGTGAGCTCATATGCCCTTGGGAGTGTCGGCTACTCTTGTCTGGTAATCTATTATCATAAAATGGTCAAAAGCCAGGCCCCAGTCTATGGACCTCCCATCAAGTTTAGGGAAATTATATGTGTGTATTTGTTTCCCAGGGCTGCCATTACAAAATACCATGAAGTAAGTGGTTTGAAACAATAATAATTTATTCTCTCATAGTTCAGGAGTCTAGGAATCTAAAATCAAGGTGTTTGCAGTGCTACGCTCCTTCTAAAGGTTCTAGGGAAGAACTCCCCTTGCTTCTTCCTAGCAAGGATGCTGGCAATCTTTAACATTCCTTAACTTGTAGTTGCATTGCTCTAGTCTCTGCCTCTGTCATTACATGACCTTTACCCCTGTTTTTCTATAGTGTCTTTACATGATTTCTTTTTTTAAAAACATTAATTTTATTTTAGAGAGAGAGAGTGTGGTGCTAGAGGGGGAGGGTCAGAGGGAGAGGGAGAGAGTCCCCAGCAGACTCCACACTGAGCGCAAAGTCTGACATGGGGCTCGATCTCATGACCCTGAGATCAGGACCTGAGCCAAAACCAAGAGTTGGATGCTTAACCAACTGCACCACCCAGGTGCCCTTATATGGCTTTCTTATAATGACACCAGCCACTGGATTTAGGGCCCATTGTAATCTAGTATGACCTCATCTTAACTTGGTTACATCTGCAAAGACTGTATTTTCAAATATGGTCATATTCACAGGTGCCAGGGGTTAGAACTTGAACATATTTTTTTCGGGGACACAGTTCAACCTACAACAATGAGACATCTAAGTTCAGACAACAGAGAACCAATGCTATTCTATATTAATTTTGTCAGTCTATGAGACAATGCCCATGGGCAAGCATATAGTTTAAAACTCTTTGGGAGAAGGCATTGTCCTGAGTTTTAATCAGCTTTGGAGAGAGAGAGGAGTAGAAGAATGAAAGCCTAAGACCTGTCCAGTCTGTACTTTTTATCTCAGTCCAACTTTGGTGTTGCCTTGATATTACTCTGTTGATACCCTGGGCCTAGGCTATTATTCCTATAGAAATAATGGTAAAGGGCATATATTACCTTAAAAAAATGGGGGAAAGGTAAGAATAAAATTTTAAAGTTTCCTAAAGAAATTCTCTCATTCCTGCCACTGTCTCTGTCTCTTCAGCCCCCATCCTAAATGCCCATACCTAAATCAGCCTTCAGCCACCTGTAGGGATTTCTCACAGTTTTTTTTGTTTGCTTATTTTAAAATTTTTTGTTGGTATTTATTGTTAGGAATGTTATTCTCTCCATTTTGTAATTTCTGTAGAGCTGATTTTGGGACTCACCATCTTCATGGTGATTGACAATCCTGCCATAATGTTTAATCTGAAATCTTAATGTTTTATTCACAGGGAGGAATACAATTTTTTCATCTATAATTTGGAAGCAAAGTAAAATAACAAAATGAAGCCCGCAAAACATCTGTTAGCCTCTAGTAATAAATTGGCAAATGTTCCAGAATTCACTTACAAAAAAGGACTATTGAATTTGCCATTGTCACCTAAATCAAAGGAAAAACATAGTACAAAATTAGTACGTGATAAACTTGAAACAATGGCCTTAAGATCTCCACCAACAGGGGAATCCATCGTAAGGTATGCTTTGCCCATTCCATCAAGTAAGACAAAGGAGTTAATAGCAGAAGATGAGTTGATCAGGAAAATTACCAATCATCTGAAGATGGTAAGACACTTGTTGGTCCCTGTGTTTGGGGTCCCCATGACCAGCGCCAGGCTTAGTGATTTGTTAGGAAGGTGCACTAGACTCAAAATATAGTCCTATTGATGGCTAAAATTTATTACGGTGAAAGATACAAAGCAAAATCAGCAAAAGGAAAAGGCTTATGGGGTGAAGTCTGGAGGAAACTAGGTCCAAGATTCCTCTTCCTTTAAAGTCACACAGGATGTGCTTAATTCCCCCAACAACACATTACGACAGCACATGTGAAATGTCTGTGGGGGAAGCTCATTAGAGACTCAGTGCCCAGAGTTTTATTGGATACTTTGCCTAGCATGTACCGAAATTCCAGACTCCCCGAAGGAAAGCAGATGTTTAGCATAAACCACATTGTGCAGACGGTTTAGGGACAATGAGCCACTGTTATCAGTGAATCATGGGAACACACCTAAAATCCAAGTACTGAGACACCAGTCCAATGCCAGCCTTGAAACCAGATCTTTCTAACGATAGGCCTTTCTAAGTCTCATTCCTGCTATGCTAACTCTTCTCAGCACTTTAGAAACTTTAGCTCTTAGTGTTGGGGGAAAAAAAATTTCCTTTTTCTCTGAGTTTCTCTTTGCACAATGATCCAGAATTGAACTGTGGTTATACCAAATACCAAATGAGAACAATGAGGAGTAGTACAAATATAAAAAGAACATAGTTTGTCAAATCTCCAAAATATAAATTTCCTCAAAGTTTGAGGCTCAGAGAATTTCCTTTATTGCTCTTTGGTTTCCATTTCTGTTTTGCCCACTTCTCTTCCAAGAAGAAAGTTGAGTCAGTCATATTTTGAGGAATACTTTGGTAATAAGTGGAGTTGATGCTTCAACTATTCATAGTCTTTTACATGCCTGTCAACACAGAAATAAGAGTCATAGGGACTTTCTCCATTGCTAGGGAGTAGAGTCAAGGACTGTTTCTCATCATTTCTTTATGGTGATATGAGATGGAGTGTGAGATGGAAAATTTAAGTTTGTGGCACTGGCAGAAATAAGTCTTACTGCTAAGAAGGTCCTGACATGTTTGATTAAATGTCTTTTTACATTTAATATAATAATTTTAAACTATAAAAATACTTAATTTTCTTTGATTCACTCACAGATTGTTTCTACTTTGGAAGAAACCTATGGATTTAGCATTCAAAATGGAGAAAAATCAGTTGTGAAGCCTGAACCTGAGGAATTAACTTTATCGGTAAATATATGTAACCCTAATGTAGAGACATTAACACTGAAAAGGGGTAAGATTTTCTTTTGGATTCCATTTATATTCTCAGAATGAATTCACCATCCATGAAATTGATCCAGTTAGGGAACTTGAAAGTAGAGTATTTATTTTTCTATCCTCTGCTTAAAGTTTAATTAAGACATATCTATATTCTAAACCTACTTTTATTGTTAATTCCTATTCTATTTAATTTTTAAACATTTGGTTACTTGTTGGTTTGAGTTGTATATTCCTTATCATGTTAAGAAAGTATTCTTCTATTTCTATTTTGCTAAAAAATAGAACAAAACCAAGAAATTATTGAGTGTTAGCAAATGTCTGGTATATAGTGAAGTTATGTTAACTGTTAGGGTGATTGAGTATGTGGTTTTCCTTTAATATATTGAGGAGTTGAATTATTTTACACATTTCATAATATTCAACTGTACTTTTAATACTTGTAGAGTATTATTTTTCTAATTACTTTTGTTAGTTAGGGATTGAGTTTGGCTCCATGTAATAAAATACCTATGTTGAGTCTTTCAATTTGTGAACAAGGTATGTCTCTCCATTTATTTAGATATTGTTTGATTCTTTTATCACCAATTTATAATTTTCATCATACAGATCCTACACATGGTTTGTTAGATTTATGCATTTATATTTCATGTTTTTTTGGAATGATTTTTAATAGCATTGTTTTTAATTTTAGTTTCCATGTTTGTTACTAGTATATAGAAATATGATTGATTTTTATATGTTTATCTGATATCTTGCAATCTTATTCAATGTACTTTTTCATTCTAGATTTTCTATAGATATCTTGGAATTTTCTACATAGACAATTATATCATTCTCAAATAGAGACAATTTTACTTCTTCCTGTCCAGTCTGAATGCTTTTTATTTCTTTCCTTTGTGCTGGCTCTGGCTTCCAGCATTATATTTAATAATAGTGATGAGAGCAGATATCTTTGACTCATTTGACTACTACTTCCAGACAGGAATGGAAGTTCAGTTCCCTGCTTGGTTTCACCAGCACCACTCTGGTGGGGGAATTGGAGGGCCAGTTTTCACTGCCATATTATTTTTCAGCCCTACTGACACATATGGGTAGTGGTGCACTTATTTTCTTGGTGTTTGGCTCAGGTAGGATAGGTATTGTCAGAAAGTTTTTGGATTATGCTAGAGACCCCTTTTCACAGTCCTTTGACTTTCCTTTCTTCTTTTTTTTTTTTTTAAAGAATTTATTTATTTATTTGAGAGAGAGAGAGCATGAGTAGGGCAGAGGGAGAGGGAGAAGCAGACTCCCTGCTGAGTAGGGAGCCCGATGTGGGGCTCAATCTCAGGACTCTGGGATCATGACCTGAGCTGAAGGTAGACGCTTAACTGACTGAGCCACCCAGGTGCCCTCTTTGGCTTTTCTTAAGGGATTTTTTTTTTTTTTTTTTTAAGTCTGTGCTTATTGGAAGTTCCAGGTTCCAGTGCTCCCTCCATTTTATATGTAGGTAAAAAGAAAACCTAAGGAATTCATGTATTCCTCAAGTTTTGAGAAATCTGCCTTTCTCTTTCTACGTTTCAATTTCCCTGTATTGGTTTGTTGTGTTGTTTATGGTATTTTAATTGCAGGAGGGAGGATTAGAGGAATGGGCCTAGTCCATCATTGCCAGAACTGAAAGTCCAAAATTATTTTTTTATTTTTGATACAGTTCTGTGTTTTGATGTCTCCTTTATCTGATATCAGCTTTCTTATGATTAGCCATTGTGTTATATCTTTTTTTATTATATTATGTTAATCACCATACATCATTAGTTTTTGATGTAGTGTTCCATGATTCATTGTTTG